CTTTGAAGCTCAAATATGCTGATCGGGTCAGTCGCACAGGTGCTCCTAAATATAATTTCATAGTCGCACGCAGTAGTTTTGAGACTGAAATGGTCGCACTGTAGAGCCCTGAATATCTTTGTTGGACAACAGGTTTGTAAACGATTCATACACATGTAAAACTGTGTCGCACACGTGCTACCCAAGGCTCGGACCGATTTTTGTCGCACTGTACAGCCCTATCCAAACCTGTTCCAGATTGCAGATTCAGGAGCAGCTCAATTTCACGTCCGCCTTTCTTCACGTCACTCCACACAGTCGTTCACAGAAATATGTCAACAACTAGACTTTATCGTTATTATCGCGGGAAGACGAATTCTTATCGTGTGGAGAATTTGTACCGGTATATCGAAAAACGATAACATATCGCCCATCCCTAGTGTGTTGCCTGGCTTCCTAAAGATGACAGTCATTAGACACTGGTCTCCATAGCAACTTATTTACTGGGATATGATTAAAAACTAATAAAGACCAGTGCTCTGACTCCAAAAAGCTCCATGTATGAGACGGGGTGTATAGATACATAAATAAATGTATAAATACAAAATTGACTGCCCACCAGGGGGTTGGAGAAGAGCGTCTGCTGTTTTTTATTCAATTCTAGGCATTTATATTATTTGTGCACACATTTCATTAACATTATTCGCCTGATCCAGTGTAGATGAACATAGCATCTGTGATCAAATCTCTGTTTCACTCTGGGAAGTATGTCATGTGCATCTGTAGACAAAACATCCATTAGTATTACATGAGATGTTGTGGAAGTTCATAGATTAGAACTGCCACAAGAAAGAAACGTGGGCTGAATTCCCATACTTTCACCAGATGTAGTAAATCAATGAAGAACTGACTTCATGCCTGCTAATGAAGTGCAGTCTTTAGCTTTGCAGGTGTGTAGTGTTATATATATTTCTTAATTAACCCTGTGTGTTGTTTGACAAGTAACATTCACTTCAAGTAACATTCACTTGTCACAATGGAACCTACTGTATACCTTTTATACTGACAATTAACTTTCCCTCAAGTCAACCAAGACATTACATCATTTGAATAACATTACATCATTTGCTCACCAATGGATCCTCTGAAGTGAATGGGTGACATCATCAACGAATTAGAGTTCAAACATATACAAAAATGTGTTGTTAAGGTGACTTTAAACCTTCTAGCCAAAAGATGAGTCCATAATCTACACTAACTCTTCCTCCCGTGAAAAAGTTCATCACCTGTCATCCTTGCACATCCAAACCCACCGACAGATTTGCTTAAAGCTGTTTTGGACTGGGTTTGCTTTTAAATGCTGCTTGATCTGTGGATATTTTGTTCCTGATTCAGATGAGACGACTTTTTCACTGGAGAAAACAAACGTTGTGGATAGAAGAAGCCAGAAGCAACGGTTCGAAAATAAAAATGTCTTGATGGATTGGTTTATTGCAAACACGCAGCTTTTCACTTGGAATAGATTCGTGTGGATTATTGTGATGTTTTTACTCACTTACTTTATCTGCTCATTTGACAATGATTTTTACATGCTTGGACACAGGGGTGAATTGCTATGTCAAGTCAAGTCAAGTAAGCTTTTATTTACACAATAACCACTGCGATTGGGCGATTGGTCCCCCTTGGTACATTCATTTCATTTTGAAAAAATAATGATGTGCACAGATAAATCATTTGGAATAAATGCTGCAGTATTCCTCACAGAAGCAAGAATGGTCCATTTTGATTTCCTGGGGACTTTAAAAGAACATGAAGGGAGATATGAATCATGGATTGATCTATAATGAGCAGTTGGATGTGTGTGAGTGACTGTGCAGATGCTTTTGTTTCTCAACACCCACAATGGCAGATTATTTGTGCAGCGCATTCTCACGCTGTGTCCAAACCCAATGAATCCAGCCAATTAGTGCACAGGCAAATGTGTGGTGAATGAGAGCAGGCTATTTAAGTGAACCACTAATTGTTAATGTGGTTAGAATAGTTCACCATGTCCAGGACTACGTATGATGATGCCTTTCGCATGCCAGCCGCAGATCCCTATGGTGTGTATGAAATACTGTTTTTTCCAGTGGAAGTGCTACAGAGCATTCCATTCCCTCTATAGGCCTATGCTTTTTAATTTTCCAGTTCTTTGGGCTTGTTTGTATCTGAAATGAGTAAGGAGTAAAAGATTCTTTGGATTTTGCGAGGATCTCTATGCACATGCCAGACGCACACACACAAACACACACACACACTGGCGTCACGTACGGTCTGTGTGATGAAAACTCTAAACTGATGTCTAAACACTCTAGAACTTGGACAGAAACAAGGTGGCAGTCATCTAGCATACACAATGTGTCCACCTCAGACACACTGACATGCTCCGGCGAACGTAGAACATAAATCTTCTTAAAACATTTCCTAACACAAGCCGTAAACTTCACAAGCTGGTTTGTACAGGGCTTCAGTCTCTGATATATGTACTGCTACGGTCAACGTTTACGTTTGCGGGCCAGCTGTGTCTGTTTTCCATATTGATGGTGTTTCGTGTTTTTCCATCTGTCGTTCAGGTCGCAGCGCTCATCCAGTACCTGATAGAAAACACGCCTGCCATATTTGGAGATGATCTGGAGAGTCTGTTCCCCAGGCAGATGAATACAGAGCAGGAAACATGCGATTACACAGGTAATTGTAAAGTTATGCCCTTTGGACCTTATTTCACTGAGATGTAGATGCCTATTGAGGTACTTTACAGAAAACAATTAGCCCTTTTGACTGTGCAATTTCACAGTACTCCCACACACACTTTATCTGCTGGTGGATGTGGGTGTTTTAGAATTAGAGTTAGCGTTTAATTAACTGAAAATAATAAATTTTAGATCACTTTTAAGGAATGCCTTGGCCTTTATTACAGTTTCAAGTATTGTTAGTGATATTTGGTATACCAGCTTTGCTCCTCAAATTTCAGCCTTTACTTTACTAGATCCTCTTAAGCTCTCTCAGACGTATCTGAAATGTCAATAAACTGTTCAGAACACCATTTTAAGTGCAATAAACTCTTTCACTGACCTTAACATTCTAACCTGCTCATAAGTATTGTCATTGTCAATATTTTCAGTGCAAACACATTTATGTAATCACAAAAAGTGGTAGTTTACGTAATGTTGCATTCAATTGAATTTCATTTTAAAAATTATATTTGTATAATTTTTCTTTTAATCATGGCAGCAGTAATTCATCAGCTGAGAATTTTATTAAGATGTGCTGTGTACTTCTGGCCTTTTAAAGTGACTAGTTCACCAAAAATATTGAAACTCTTTTATCATTTACTCATCCTCATGTTGTTCCAAACATTTGAAGAAGAACCTCCTTTGAAGAACTGTTTTTGCCCATACAGTTAAAATCGATGGGTTCGAAACCAGACTTTGACGCCACTGACTTTAAGTTGTTGTGGACAAAAATAAAAATATAATCTTTTGTGTTGGGTCAACTATACCTTTGAGGAGCCACTTCAGGTGCCTGGATTGCTCTGTTCGAGTGATGCAGTCTCAGTGGCGTATGATTGATCACAGTAGTTTTGCGTTCTTCAGATCCGACCTGCAAGACAGGGAATTGCACCATACAAATTGCTTTCAGCATATTTGTTGGGCTCTGTTAACTGATTTACATAATTCCTTTAGTGAATTGTGTGCTATTACAAGGTAGACAGCACATGCAAATAATTGTATATTTTTAATGAATTCTTATTTTCCCTTCTCCCTCTATATGCCTAGAAGAGTATATGAAATACATGCAGGATGCAATAATAAACATTTTAAACAGTAGCTTGCTGCATTGTTGGGATATAAGTTACTCTTTTGTGTAAAAGTGCACTTGTTTTGGCAGTTTAATTAAAAGTCATGAAGTAGATCTGAGATGTAAGATCGCTTCTTGTTCATTTTTAGTTAAATGGAAGGTCAAGAATCTTTGCATAATGCGATTGCATAGCCCTACGGTGAGCTCTGCTATATACCGCAAATATGCACATTTTAGCTAATGTAGTAGATCATCAGGGTATGCGTTCAGAAAATATCCATGATTTTCACTGTATATACACACAACATACCCAGTGGTTTTCTGTTCTAACCAGAGATTTTCACTGGATTTCAAGGTTGTGCTTTGGGACGCTCATAAATTCAATCACTTCTTTCATAGCCATTCCGGTATGGTTTTGGCAGTTTGGTCACGTTTAGGATGAAAGGTGAACGTTTGCCCTGAGGAATAGGTTTTCTTTTAGGATTTCTCTCTTTTCTTCAATTCATACCAGCTCACAAATGATTGATGCTGAGAGTAATCCCCAGATTATCCCTGGAAAATTGAGCAGGAGAAAATGTGGCTTTTAGTTATCAATTTTAGTCTTAAAGAACCTCATGGTCTCAAGAGTCATTTAAGGTGCTGTTTGGCGAATTCCAGACAGGCTGACACACTCTTCTTTTGTATCAAACCATACTGTGGAAACCTGATTCATGCACTGATGGTATCAATTAAATTAAATTAAATTAAATTAAATTCAAGTTTATTTGTACAGCGCTTTTCACGATACAAATCATTGCAAAGCAACTTTACAGCAAATTAAGTTTCTACAATATTTAGTGGTAGCTTATCAGTGGTGACTGTCAGTTAATGTACAAACCCAATTCCAAAAAAGTTGGGACACTGTACAAATTGTGAGTAAAAAAGGAATGGAATAATTTACAAATCTCATAAACTTATATTTTATTCACAATAGAATATAGATAACATATCAAATGTTGAAAGTGAGACATTTTGAAATGTCATGCCAAATATTGGCTCATTTTGGATTTCATGAGAGCTACACATTCCAAAAAAGGTGGGACGGAATCGGGTTTGTACATATGGCAGAAATGTATGGAAAAATTCAATTAAAGACGTAATCAAACAGACAATGAACACTATTAACAGCAATTATTATATGATGCAATCAAACTTATAGCAAAATGTGGTAGTTCTGTATGTTGTTTCAGGGTTGGCATCATCTGAGGTCCTATGAGGGGT